AAAAAAAAAAAAAAAAAAAAAAAACAACTTACAATACCCCACATCTATGTGAGATCTTTTTTATAAAGGTAATGCCAAAGAGCAAGTTACTCTGGCTGAATCTGAAACCAAAGGAAAAAAAACCATGTAAAATGCTAATTAACGACTAGGCCCAACAGCCACAGTAAAATCATGCTCTTGGCAGCTGGCCCGATAATATCCAGGAAATTTCCAGAGATGGTATTAGAACATTAACAGTGTCCAAACAGTATTGTATTGTTTTTCTGTTAATAAAAGCCAATTAAAAACTAGCTCAGGACTGCCCTAACTACATAATATATTTATATTATATAAATTTTTTCTCACTCCTAATTCTTTAAGCGTATAATTCTTTTTAAAGTGCATTTCATGCTTAGGTTTTGACATGGTCCATGTGGTGGGAAGACTTTCCTCATAAATCCTCTTCCCATATGGAAAGGTCAAAGCATCTTATAGATACAGAGTAAATCCACAACATTTATAATAGTCGGTTAATACTGCTTTCATTACTGGAAAATCAGTTTGTGATGCTAAATGTTAACAACAAATTGGTATGCTTGGTTAGTTTGATCCATCTACCTCCATGAGTAACCACTCAAAAGTTACCAATTACAGCAGTAACCAAGAAAACAGTAATGGGTAACTTCGTGATTTGTGAACCTGATTTAACCAGCTAGTTAAATCATCATTTGCATTCCCAAGATGCAGATACAGTTTAATTATTAAGTTTTCACTCTTTAAAGTGAAAGTGGTGGTGGGTCAAGACACCCACCACCACTTTTCTGAATGAGGTATTACCCCTGGCTGAGAACCACTGTTGGTGCTTCCAGAAAGGGCTATGGAACCATGATGAAACTGCCCCATGCTGCAAAGCCAGCCCAGAAAGGGCTGTGCCACTTACATTTTATGGTACTCATCAGCCTAAGGTAGGCAGAAGCTGCCTTATGCTGTGCAGCTTTCTGGTCCACCACACCCCCAACACTCCTCTCAGAAACAGAAGTGGACAGGGAGACTGCCTTGCTTTAGTCTGATTAGAGAGCCCTAATGCAGGGGACTGTGTGGGGCAGTTTTACCTACTGAGTCTATTCTGAGGTTACTTCTGGGCAGTGGAAAAATATCTTTTTCATGGGCCCAGTGACTTTAGGCCTTTTTTCCCTGCTTGGAAAGAGTCGCTCTGAAAAGGAAGAAACCCAGGAGAAAAAAAAAAAAAAAAAAAAACACTCAACTGGATCCCCTTTTGCCTTCCTGCTGAACACATAGTTTAGAGGATTTATAAACAGAAGACCCAATGCAAATTCAAAAATCTACTAGATAAACTGCGGCCAAACATCTCCAAATTGAAGTTAATGCATGTGCCAATACTAGTGATACCAGTGATTTGAGACAATGTGCATAATCTTGGCTTTTGTACTATTATAGTAATGCAGTCACTAAAATCAGAGATATCTTAACACGGATATTGTACAAAAAGCTTAAATAGTTTATGACCACGAAGTAAAATTTGGGAGGGTGAAGGACAGCTATCTTTATAGCATCAAAAAAAACTTGCCTCTTTTGTGCCCTATTAGCAAGGAAAACAGAAAGCCCAAGCTATATTTTCAAAGTGCTGGTTTGGTACTCCCTGCCTGTGGGGTCAGGGAAGCACTTGCACATGGTGAGCTGGCTGATCAAGATACCTGGAGCACAGCACATGCCTGACATTTCATGCTACTTTAATCTCTAGTCGGAATTTAAAAACACAGACTAGCCTTTGTAATTTACAGTGTAGTGTGAATTACTTAATAGTACACACATTCTTACCACTGTTAATTCTTTGCCAGCTGCTTTCCGAAAGGCTTTGGTCCATCTGACCTTCCTGGGATTTCGCTTCTTTTTAAAGTTTTTGTGGCATTTTGATTTGCAGAATCTAAAAACCTATAAGTAGATAAAACAAAAAAAATCTGAACTCAAAGGATGTTGATTTCTACATAATTCAAATTAAACCGGTGTTATATCTTAATTACGTTACTAGAGCGATACTACTCATGACAAATTAAAAGATTACTATTTCCATTATATTACCCTTATGAGAAGAACCAAATAACAGGCTAAAATTATGAAGTACAGCATATAGAACTAACTTCCCTGGAAATTACACCCCAATAAATAGCCAAAGCTGTTTAGTCCAAAGCCAAATATGAAAGACTTCCTAAAAGCTTAATGCAGTCTTCACGCTCATTCAGTCTTTGGCTTTCCTGGTAAGTCTGCTAATAAGACTACCCATCAAGTATGTGAAACATAAGATTAAGGTTTTCCCAAATGTGGATAGCTACTAAATAAACTCACTTCTTGTATACATATCCCTTCTTACAACATAATAATAAAGCTCCTATTAACCTAACAAGGTACCTAAACAGAAATCAGGGCAGAGTGACACCTTGTAAGAGCTCTCCTAATCCACGTGCACCAACCTCCATTCATTATAAATCACAAAATGAAGTCAAAATTTAAGTCACAGAGATTGTCAGACCAGCCTCTTCTGTAAAAAGTGGTCTGGGAAGGTTTGTATACTTACTTTTTGTTTAGAGATGAGAAAACAACAAAAATCTGATTCATGATTTTAGAAACTGGCCTTTATCAAAACGGTTAATTCTAAAATTGTATTTTACATCCCACTTTGCACTGACTTACACAAGTCGAGGAAAACTGCTCTGCTAATTTCATTTTAAATGCAGCAATTAAGCATATACTCATCCTCATAACTTTGAAAAACAAATTTTATTTTTGACTTTGCAGTATAATCTACCAAATACTAGGGCATGGTTCACTAGGCTGCCTCTGCACTACACACTTTTGCTGGTACACCTATTTCAAGTATGTGGCGTGATCCCTGACCAACTTAGTTGTACTGGTTGAAATCCATGGTGAGGAGACAATTATACTAGCGTAGCTACATCCAGACTAGGAATGCTTTGCTGGAATAGTCTAATAGTAAGGCACACCTAATGTAGACACGGTGTAAGCTTCCCTTACCACTTAACAGAAAAAATAATATTTATGGACTAAACTAAGCATATGTAGAGTCATAAATAGACTATTTAATCTTTAGTAAGGAATCTAATTTCAATCATGCATACAATGCACACAGCTTCACTGGAAGTTTGCATAAAAATACTAAATCAATATAATAGCTTGGTTGTTCCGTGCACAACTCTCACACACACATATTTCTGTGAGTGATTAAGCAATAATTTTGTTACACAGTAATTAATAGGCTACCCTCCAGTGTACCAAACATCATGGAAAATAAAGTTAATATCTAGATATGTGAATTAGTATAAAGTTATACCGTATATCATGATACAGAATAGAATAATATATACTATAGATAAGTATCTTCTGAGATGATAGTATTGTGAACTTGATATTGCAGAAAAAAGTTTCAAAACATTATTTGTTTTTGTTTTACAAAAAGATATTTTCATTATTTTTTTTTACAATATCCTCAGTATCAATAAGGCAGGAGTGTTCACAAATATATACAACCAATTCTAAACAAGCAGCTGGTTGGAAAACTGGGATATACAGAGTTAAGTGAATTATCCCCACAGCAATATTTACAAAACCAAAACTGTTCTGCAAACAACTTTCTATATCTGGATGTAGTGCTTTTCCAACAGGGTAAAATTCTATCTGCACGGCACAAAAATCTCCAAGTTCTACTATATATAGACACAGGACATAAACAGACATAACAAGGGTTGCACTATCAAAAATACCAGTAGATGCTGTTACACTGCAACTGTTCTGCCTCTAGGGCTGAATCCAAGATTCAATCATTTAAAAATCAGTGTCCTAATCAATGGGAATTAAAGCAACTCTCTCCAGTATCTCCTACTACTGTAAACTTGGAATTTAAATACATCACAAGAATGCTAAAAGTGGTTATCAGTGGTAGTCTGAAATCAGACAGAGGGGGTAGGGCAGGGTGGCATCTTAGAGACAAAATAGGCAGATGCCTACTGCATCTTAGAGATGAAGTAGGTGGATGCCTACAAAAACTCATGCCTCTCTGAACCAGATAGTCTCTAGGGGCATTACACGTGCTCTGGGAAGCATTGGGGACACGCACGCACACACACTTTAATTAGCGAGCTGCACCAATTAAAAGCGTCTGATCATCACATCTATCGGAGTCTCCACACTGAAAAAAATGACAGCAGGGTGCTTTGAACTAAAGCTTGTTTGATGAGCTTTAGTTCAATTTTCAGCACAGGGACGCTGATACACCTGACACTAGAGTCTGCCAGAGTGCGTTCATTTCCATACTCCAACAGACTCGGCTGATTTGAGTCTGTCTGACACGCTGGATTTCCAGGCTCTCTGCACGTGTACAGGAGCCCCAGGGTGGCCTTCCTTACCTTCACCCAAAGAATGCTAGAGTCAAGGGGGTCCTGCTGCCAGTTCAAGGCCATCAGCAAAAGCCCACACCTTCAGCACACCAACAAATATACTGACTTCATGTTATACGAATTAGGGGTTTTTTTTAAATCAAGCCAGCCAGCCTGCTCTCCTGAGGCAGCCAGGCAGGTGATGTAGCACCCTTACTTCTGGCTTAAACACTCTGTCTCTGACTGTAGTCATACATTGTTGCCCACTACCTCCACCCCCACAAAATACCTGCAATTCATGTTCACAATCTGGGATTATTCTCTCTCTAAATTTCTCTCCCCCAGGGTCTGCGGCTCAGAAAACGCTGAGCACAGCTACACTGAACTTCCACTCGCAGATCCGCACAACGAGATCAATGCCCCAGAGGTCCAGTGCAGTAACGTCAGCTGCTCTGATGAAGGTGGAGGGGACGGGGCGGGGAGAAAACAGGCGTTTTGGAAGCGGGCGCGTACCAGGCCCAGCAGGCCGCCGCAGCCGGCGGCTCAGAGGTAAGGAAGGGCGAAAAAACGCGGCCAGGGCGTCGGCTCTAGCGCTGGCAGACGACAACGGCCTCGGGGCCACGAGCACTAAAGCACGGGCCGCCCGGACCTGCCTTGTGCGACGCGGAGCCACTCCGGCCTGACACGCGGCGGTTCCCGCTGTGCGCCACGGACCGCGGAAATGCAGCAGCCGCCCAACAAGGCCCCGCCCCCCTTTCCCCGGCCCGGCAGCGAGGGGCACCTTGCAGTCGTTGCGCACGAACATGACGCCATGGCCCGGGTAGACCGGCCCCGAGCAGAAGTAGCAGCGCTCCACGCGCATCGCGCCGACTTCGTCGCCTGCCGGAAGTGATGGACCCAGCCGGAAGCGGCGCTCGTGGCCCAGCGTGTCCCGCCAGCGCCCCCTGCTGCCCCGGGCGGTTCTTTTCGGGCTCCGCCCCCCACTGCTTTCAGAGTGGGAGCGGGGAGAGGCGAAGGAGGGAGTTGGAGCTTGAGGCTCCTCCGCTGGCGCTGAAGGCTGGGTGGATTGGAGCCTTCCCACCTAGGGAAGGGACTTCGGTACACCTGCCTCGCTTTCCAGGGGGCCGGGAAAAATCCCAGACAGCTCTTTCCACTCTCTTTCCTCCTCCCATTCTGACAACAGCCAGAGGCTGGGAGCTCTGGAGACACAGAAGAGCTCCATTTCCTAACATCTTTCCCTGGTGCCTGTGCCGCTGATGCCTCAGGAGCACAGGGCAGAGGTTCCTAAAGGGCAGTTTCCCAAGAAGAACATTTGGAGGCATCAGCTGCACAGGGACATCTCCCTGTGGGTTGTTTTATTTCTTGGAGTGGGAAACGTATCCCAGCCCTATCTCTCACTCTGTGCAATACTAAATTCTCACAGATTCATGCTGGGAAATAAAATACCTCCCTTGGGTCCTTAAGCACCTTTCCCGTGTCTCTCCCCAGCCTCCTTGCCGTGTGCTGCAGCAGGGACTCGTTTCAGAAGGGGGGGGGGAAAATCCATCTTGCACCTACACCAACCAAAATGAAATATTCTGTCACCTGGGTTGTTACTGGTTCAGGAGGAAATTATTTGGCATCCTGCAGTCTCCCATGCTGAAACAGAAAATCCTGGTTGCAGCTATGCATAACGGAAGAGTTTCATATCCTGGCAAACATGACTCTTACAGGAGGTTAGAATCAGAAGCTCGTGCTAACAACAATCATCACTAGAGCTTGGGGCCGAAGAGTGCCCAGGTCTGCTGCCATCTTTAAAAATGTTCCAGATCTACTGCATCCAGTAGATCTGGAAATTCAGTCTGCATGACAGCAAAAGACTTTCATGTGATAGCACACCAATTGCAAAGTTTATACACTGTTCATACAGAATGCAAAGGGTGACACCCACACCAATCACATTTCTGATTTTTGTACCTACAGGCTGTTTGAAACATTAGAAACCAAGACACAAAGATTTTCTTCTCTTCACAATAATGTTTTGACTAGGTGAAAAATTTCAGCTCTCAAAAGCTGTTTCTGTACCAGCAAGAGGGCTCCATCTGGTGAAAGTCCAGAGAAGTAATTTCTAAGGCTAGCGGCAGACATTAAAAAAAACCTGAGCCTGAATTGATTCAATCTTTGCAAGTTAGTCTAACCTGGGTAGATTAAACTGATTTGCAAGTGAACCAACTTTCACTCCAGAATTGCATGCACATGCCTGCAGTGGCTCAGGCTAGAAACTGGGGGAGGGTGCGCTAGAGCGAGCCCTCCCATCCCTTCTATAGCAGCTGGAGGAAAGCTGAGCTTGTGGGGGAGTTGCTGCTAAGTTTGATTGCAGTGGGGTTTAAACCCCCACTGTGGTCTGCAGGGACCCCAGCCAGGCTGTGCCTGGAAAGGGAGGAGGGAAGCAGCCCTTGCCAGGCTTGTCCCTGCTGCCAAAAGGGGGCGGAGGGGGATTAAACTCCCCTGTCTCCCCTCTCAGGCACTGGGACTCTAGCCAGGCTCCCCCTCCTCCCTGTCCACATGGTGGGGAGGCCTGGCCAGAGCTGGCCAGCACGACCCTGCCATCTGCCTGGGGCTGGAGCTGCAGAGCTAAGACGAGCCAGCCCCCAGGCGCAGCTGAGGGCGGACACACAGGAGCCAGCCAAGGCTGAGCCATGGTGGCCAGGCCCTTGGCTTGGGCTGAGGGGCACAGGTGGTGGCTGGCCAAGCAGCAGGCTGCCCAAGCCAACGTGGAGGTCAAGCAAGCCCAGATCCCAGCACCCACCTGCCACAGGGGCTTGCAGCCCCTGCTGGTAACCTTGTCCTTTGCAGCACCTGCTGGCTGCAGCTGTAGCTGCACTGCAGGTTGTGTGGTGGCCAGGGCCAGCAGGGCTCTTCTGCCTCCCCCACCCCCAGCTTGTGCTGCAGCCACCACGCAGCTCTGGGTGGGCAGGTAGAAGCTTTATCCCTGCAGCTTCCGCCCAGCTCATGGAGCTCTGGCTGCTTTCCACCTGTCCCTCCCCTCCCCCCTGCAGGGAATGCTCATTGCACCGGGTGGACAGAAAGCAGCCGGAGCTCAAGCCAGAGCTCTGTGTACTCGGCAGAAGCCGCCAGGCTAAAGCTTCCACCCAGAGCTGCATTGCATGGTGGGGCAGGAGCCGCAGCTGGAGGTAAGGGGAGCAAAACAGCCGTGCCAGGCCCAGCCAATGCACAGCTTACCCTCGCCTTCAGCATCTACTCCCCGTCTCACTCTTGCTCCTGCCGCGCCAGTCCAGGAGGTGAGAGGTGGGGGAGTAGTTTTAGTCCAGTGGCTTCTGCTCAGAACAGGGCTAAAGCTCAGAGTGGTGCAGCAGGGGTAGGAGTGGGAGGTGGAATAGCCCTGTACATCCACCCTCACCACTGCCTGCGGGCTTGGCCCAGCTCATCCCCCAGTCCCAGCCCTAGGCAGATGGTAGGAATGTGCTGACCAGCTCTGGCTGGGCCCCCCTACCATGCGAACAGAGAGCAGGAGGGAAAGCTGAGCAGACCCCGCCTGGGGTCCTGATGCCCCCACTCCTACCACTGGAGTGGGGAGGGGAGTGAATGCCCGATGGGCTACTACACCCCAGCCAGGCAGACTTCAGCTGCCGTCCCCCAGTAGAAGAGGGGGAATAAACCCCTTCCCTGCTCCCTTAGCCTCTGGGGGCCATGCTGGCTGGTGCCTAACCATACCCCCGTCCCCAGCTAGACAGCAGAGGGGCGGGGCCAGTCCTGCTCTGCTGGAGCAGAGAGCACAGTCCAGCTCAGGGTTGCAGAGCATGCTGGGATGCTGGGGGACTCTGGTTTAACTTGAACCAGGAAGATGTCTAGAACAAAAGTTCCATAAACCAGTTTGACCCAAATCAGTTAAGGCTGATACTACATTCAACGAGGTTTTCTTCAATCAGTTTTGGCCATTTTGAAACTGGTTATGTGCACTGAACTTACATTTTGTTACAGGTATAAACTACTTTCTGATCACTTAAAATGGTTTATGTGTAACTTCTGTCCCTAGCCTAAATGAGAAAAAGTCATAGTTAACAGTGGAAGTGTTAACTTTCCCTAACTGAGCAAATCCTAGCATCTCTACCCCAAACATTTCCCAGAGTCTTTCCCTGAACACAGAGAACCCTATGAGTCACAACCCTAACTCTAGGTCATGGCTCCATACCAACTCCACTCCTAACTCAAGCTCTACAAACTTAAAAGTCACAAGGCCAACACAAGTCCAAGTGCCCTTATTAACCAAACTTTCAAGCCACAGCCCTAATCCTGGCCTGGAATGCCCCGTCTGTCCCCCTCCAACCCTAGTTCTCTGAGCCCCAACAGCTGGACAGCCATTCTCTCCTGCCTGCCTTCACCACAAGGAATTCTTCTGTTGAAAGCTGAGAACTGCTCAGATTTACACAAACTAGATTAGCCATCTAAGCATCATCATTTTCTTGTCACCCATCATTTAACTGAAACATAGAAATCTTCCCTTAAATAGAAACAGGAAATGTGAGGGCTTTGGTGTCTAACTTGTGTTCAGAAGCCTCTTACTTGGTGTCACAGAGTCCTGCATGGGAAGATTTTCCAGGACTCCCAGCCTCGTCTGGTCTCTCCAACTGCCCCTGGAAGCCAGCCTAGGCATGGCTTCTTGATTAGGTGGGGAGACCTGACTTCTTCCAATTCTTTCTTTCAGTCCCTGACCCATCCTAGTTGTCTGTGACCCTTCCTCAGGGAGCTACCTTCCAGTTCAGCTCCTGAGAGATAGCTGTTCAAAGGGGTAGAGAAGCAGACCCCAAGCTCTATGCAGCAAACTGCTGGAAGCAGCTTCCCTTCTATAAAGGCATTTAGTGGAGACAAAGGCAACAGCAAAAAGACTCTGCCTCTTCAGTCCAGCCTGCACAGCCCTAAGTACCCCAAAGGTAGCTCACCTGTCCTCTGTCCACTCTGCACAGCTCCAAAGCACCCCAAAGCGCACCCGTTCTTCCCTTCCTTCAGCCTCTCTTCAGATCCTCCAGTTCCCAGGCCAACTACCCATTTTCAGGCTGCTCTGTCCATTGCGTTGCGTATCTTCCTCTCTGCCCTGGAAGCGTCCTAGGTGTTACCTCCAATCCCACCTTCTTAAAGCATCAACAAAACTATTCCATTTGTCTGTTGTTGGAGGTGCACCTTGTCATCCTGAACTCAGGTCTGCCACCTAGCAAGGACCCTGTTAACCCTTCTTTCCCAATATATAGTCAGGGAAACCGAGGCATGCAACATTACCACCACATGAACACATTTAAAACAGAAATATCACAAAAAACCCTATAGTCTGTCACACTGGCTTCTTACTATGTTGCAAAATTTGTTTTTAAATGTGAAAGGTGTTGAGAGAAACAGAAAATGCACAAAATTTGGTATAATGATAAGCCAGGGAATATAAATAATGACAACAGTCAGGGGCTGAGAGTCATTATTGCTGAGTCACATTTTTAACTTACTAGTAACTGAATATGTAAATCAGAGAAGGCAAATCTCTGTGCCTTGGATTTCCCAACTGCAAGCCCTCTAGTTGAATTTTATTGTACTGACTTCAGAGGGAGATTTCTGCTTCAAAACAGATAGCTTGATTGACATTTATGTAAACATATACTGTCACAACCCTTCTGGGCAGTCAGTCTGTTGTAAGTGGACCTAAATGTGGGATACCACATGCTTCTAAACTAACTGGTTCTAAGCAGTCTAGTCACCGGTCCTCACTTGGGTCTTCAAGGTACATGCCAGATTCAGACCCCATGTCTGACATCTTTCTTAGTACATAGGATTCTGCAGTTCAGGTCCTGAAACCCAAGGCTTTCTGTACCACCAGTTGTTTACATAAACTGATTTTGGCTCAGGGGATTTA